TATACCTCCAGAAAGTGAGTTGTGTAGCGGCCGCGCTCACGTGCACTCTCACGTCTTCAAACAACACAGGTGAGCGCTGTTTTGCTCTCTCTACCTAGTGCATATTAATCAAATCATTTGACACGATAGTAAAAGGTTGGAAGGCCGCAGTTTCACGTGTAGCATTTGGAGATTTTTAGAGATTAGAGACTCAATGAACAACATCTCAGCACTAAATTATAAAGTCCGTCTCATAGACGCCTGTATCAAATACAAGCCGGTGCATTCCGACGATATGGGAAAATAAAAAGCCCAGACTATTATTTGTAGTTTAATGGTATTTGTTTTTTTTTTTCATAATACATTTCTATTGTTAGTTTGAATTAATTTGACAGAGAGCATTCACTGAGGTTGACCAAGCTAGCGCCATTCAGAGCTGCCAACTCTCATGAATTCTCCCCGAGACACGCAATTGACACTTTTCAGTGAAAAGTTTTCACACGCTCTCAGGCCACACATCAATTTTGTCATGCACAGAAAAGGACACAGAGAATGACAGACAAGATGGAGCAGGTTAGTTATGATATATAAAAAATCTCAGCTCTCAGATTTTGTCAATTTTATTACGCAATTCAAACAATAAATACACTTTTGGTGCTTGTAAATGTTACACGACAGAGTGCACGTGAAACGATTATCTCTACTGGCTAATGGTAAAAGAACTCGAAAACTGTTGAAAGAAACAGTATGTTACAACTTGCCAGAATGTATTCCTTATGCATAATATCGACCAATAATTTTTTGAACTCCTCCCAGAACTGAAATGTAGTAGTGGGCTGTTTCCACATGATTGACATCAGGTTCACGTAGATGTAGACCCACAAGCCATGCGAGTTATTCGTGTATTGCAGTTTGACTGATGGTTATGTTCCCCGCTCGCATACTGCCTCCCATGGCTGAAACAGGTATTATGACACCTGCCGGGCTGGGGCTAGTAATTTAGCATGCTGAAATAAATTCAAGGTTAATATCTCGGCAGCACTATAACTTGTTATTTTTTTAATGACATCATCAACCTTATTTCTTCTCATTCTTTTGATGCGTGTAGCTCATTTTTGGGATATTTTAACTTCAATTTTTACAGATGGCACCTTTAATAACACTATATATGGTAAATTGTTGTTTTTGATATTTGGAATAAATGTTAGGTTCATTGACCTAACTTTTTATTGGTTTTGATTAAACATAGTATTTGTATTTGATTGTTGGGACCCCAGGAAGAGAAGGCTAATGAGGATCCAAATAAACAAATAAAATCAGAACATAGGAAAGAACATCTACAGCCAATACCAACAATTTACTTAGGAAAATATATTTTTGCCTTTTTTTGACAGTAACAGAATCTTGTCTTGCCTGATCTACACCACTTTTTTTAGTAGTCCTCAAAGTGTGCCCATATATATGTAAAATGTGTTGTAAATATCTCATTTCGTTATGAAGTTTAGAAACTTATTTACATTTGGGCATTATGTCAATTACTAAAGCTATTTGCCTGTTTTCAAATTGCCTATTTTTTTTGTCTTGATCGAACTAACACCTTTGAAGATAACAACATTTATTCATTTATTTTTTTCAAAGCTCTAAATGTCACCGTTACAAAAACTATAAGGCCAAACCTGGCATGTTTGGTATCATTGGACTCGTCAAGGATTCAGGAGTGTGAAGAGGGCACTCCCATGAAAAAACGCAGGGTTGAAAATTCTCAGGCTCCTTCAGGGCATTGTGCCGATGACCTATACTGAGTTTTTTGAGATACACCAATGTTCTCATAGACTATAAAGGTACCCTGGACAAACAGACTGCATGCCAATTTTTATTTGACTAGTGGTTGGTTGCGGTAATGGCCATTTTCATGACTTTTTTCCCTGTTATAGCGCCACCAAGTGGCCAATCATCGCGATTTTTTTCATGTGACCTCACAATGAGCTCAGGAAAAGGTGTCCCAAGTTTAGCAAAAATATCTAATTCCAGTCACAAGTTATAACCATTTTAGTAAAAGTGGCTTTCGTGCCATCAAACATTTTGGTTCCCCTTAGCAACTGATAATTGAAATTGTGAAATTTTTTAATGATTATAGACAGTGAGACTCCAGAGAACATTTCTGCAGTGGTTTGGTTCAGATTGGGCCAAAAACCTAGAAATAGTTCTCAAAAGTTTGTTTTTCAAAAAAATGCAATTTACTCCAAATTGCCAAGGATTCCAACGATGTAAGACACTTGAGCCTACGCCCGACGGTTGAGGAGTTATGAGCCATTTCGTACTTTTGCCCGCTGTAGCGCCCCCGTCAGGCCGATCGGGGCGCGCCTTTGTGACGCTGTCGGCGGATATGAGTACTACCAGCCCACAAAGTTTCAGGTCTCTAGGACTTACGGTTCGTCCTGCACGATCAGTTTTACATGGAGAATGTTGCATTATGGGTAAATTAACAATAACAATAGGGTTTCAGCACTTCGTGCTTGAACCCCTAATAATAGGGGCTAAAAAGGGACTAAAAAGGCCTATAAAAATAAAACCGTTGGGTCTACGCACTTGGCGCTTGCACTGCTGCGTTCCAAAAACTTTATCACACTTTTTAACATGTGCCTTGGAGTGGAGAGGGTCGCTTTTTTGCCTTTTTAGCTCATTTTTCATGGAAATGTGGTGTTTTATTTTTTCACCTTTTAAACCGCGCCACCTCCACCGATGGCCCGATCTCCATAAAACTTTGCACGCTTCCTTAGAATAATATGGCGCACATGCTCAGCTAATTTGGTGAAGTTTTGAGCAGAGCAGACCATTTTTCAGTCACTTAAATGTCATTCTGCATATGATTTTATGGAGCATTTTCTCCCTTTATAACAGTTAAAGGGCCACCGGTGGACCGACATCCATAAAAGTTTCCAGGCCTCTATTGGGTCAGTTGACACATGCGCACGCCCGGTTTTGTGAGGTTTCATGCAAATCAGGCAGGTAGAGGGCCGCTTTCATCCATTTCATGGGATTTGCCATAGAAATACATCATTTTGGCACCTTTTTAACACTTATAGCGCCACCAAGTGGCCAGTCGCCCCGTCCTTTTTAACGCAACCACAGAATGAGCTCTCACACAGGTGCGTTGAGTTTGGTGCAAATATCTCGTTCCGTTGACGAGTTATAGGCCATTTAGTCAAAGGGGCTCCTCCCACTTGGGACGTTTTGGCGGCCCTCAGGGACCGTGAACCCAAATTTCAACTTTTTTTTGATAATTATTGACATTCGGACTCCATAGAATCTCGCCGCATTGGTTTGGTTCCGGCCGGGCCAAAAACCTAGGACTAGTTCGCAAAAGTAGGTTTTACGAAAAACGCAAAATACCCGAAAATGTACCCAGGGTGACGAGCCAATCCGAGGCATGCATCTTGTCCGGCTGGAGCCAAGGATTCCAACGATGTAAGACACTTGAGCCTACGCCCGACGGTTGAGGAGTTATGAGCCATTTCGTACTTTTGCCCGCTGTAGCGCCCCCGTCAGGCCGATCGGGGCGCGCCTTTGTGACGCTGTCGGCGGATATGAGTACTACCAGCCCACAAAGTTTCAGGTCTCTAGGACTTACGGTTCGTCCTGCACGATCAGTTTTACATGGAGAATGTTGCATTATGGGTAAATTAACAATAACAATAGGGTTTCAGCACTTCGTGCTTGAACCCCTAATAAAAATAAAATGCACCTCAATGTAAATGTTCCTGTATCTGTTGCTACCTGAGCTAAACTAGTCATTACCCAATTGGTACCCTAATTCAGGTCACAATTTGAAGTGTAAAGAGAGGTGTTAGACAAATATGCTGCATGTTCCCATGCCAATTACCCCACACCTAACAGTTCAGTATGTTAGTAAGTTATATTCAACGTGAATTTACCAGTTTAACTTCAAGGCTTGAAGAACCAGCATCAAGTGAATTTTCAGTCAGTTCCTTGACAACATTCAGGACAGATGTTATAACCTGAGAGCTGCACAACAGACGCACAGTCTCAGGTGGAAGCGCCTTCATTGTGTGCTCCCTAAGAAGAAAGTGACAAGACTACAATGGTCATACATGTAACGTTAGACACAAACTACTTCGGGCAGCACGCATTATAAAATGACATATCAGAAAAACAGCGACATTAATATCATTATGATACGTTAAACTATTAAATGACCAAATATATTATAGCTTACTTCGTATAAAAGGAAATAATCCGTTAAAAGATAGCCAAAAAATTCATAACACAAGCGTACTTCACGTTTCCAACTCGCTGCTCCAGTCAGTCGGATATGGCTTAACTGGCGCCTAAATTACGTCATTGTTATTCTCTGCATTGATTGGATGTTCTCTCTTTGTCGTATATTTAATATTTTTATATTGCTTAAACAAATAAATGAAAATGTCTTAGCTAGAGCAAATTTGTTTTACTTTTTAAATTTGTTTACATTTTTGATTTTCTGTCTTTATAAATCTCAGAAGAGAGGCTTACAATTGTTGCGTTTGCAGATGTAACGTTAGAATTCATTAAGAAATCATAATAATACATTTAGAATTATGCATTCATCAACATACATATTTATAGTAACAAAAAAATCTGTCTATTGTAATTATTGTAAACGTATTTCAACCGATGAAATAAACTATTACAGTAAGAAATTGTGCACGTTTTTATTTTAAACAGCAGTTTAATGCACATAAAGACAACAGTGGATCATGGTTCCTACCTTTAAAAAGGTAGTAGCTACCTCTAGTATTAGCCTTAATACGTTGATTAAATTATTTGGAAATGGTCGAATGAAAATCCCACAATTTTAAACAACTGGCTCACTAATAGTAAATCAAATTTTTATTCAATAATCATAAAATTAAGATTTGAGAATATTTACGTAAGTAGCAGCATTTGTAAACATCACGCCTTTAGTGGGCGTGGGGCGTCAATCTCGCGAGATTTGCTGTCCTAATCCCGTTAGCCGCGATAGCCTGTGTGTGCCATAGTGCTAGTGGTGTGTGTGCGGTGAGTCAGCCCACAGTGCGCGCAGCGGAGGCCGGCAGCGCTCCAGCCTGCTTCACCCGAACGCACGTAAGGTACCGTTACTCATCTCTTATGAAACCAAGTCATTCGAGTCGCTACTTTAAAACCACAAATGCCAAAACCCTGCGATAATGGGGCGATTGAATAACGTTAGCTTTAATGGATGTTTGCGCTGTTTATTATTGGAAGTAGGGTTAAACAAAAGCAACTGGTGTTTGTTATGAAAGCAGTTTATGCTAAATAAAGAGCATTGCTCATGCGCAAACCCCGAAACAACTTGCTATCACAGTACAGGCAGGATGATAAGGGTATTTAAAGGGTGTTATTTAAGTGGTTTAATGAGAGAAGACAGTGATCTGTGCAGGAATAAGACAGTGTTTTGTCATGTAACTAGCTGTGCTGCTAACTCAATCTGTGTCATGGACTTTACTGCAGCTGCTTTTGAGACCAAGAAAGCTAACATTAATCTGTCTAATATTTAAGATTTTTTTTAAATAAATGCAGGTTGTCTATATTGTTTGCTTGAAGTAGAGCAACGTCTATTCAATGCACTCCCTCTTAACTGTGTTGTTGAATATTAACATACTACACATCCTTACTCAATCAAAGAGTTATTCATATTTATGGAAGGATCATTTGAGTGGTTATTGACAGATGTTTACATGATTAGGAGTAGATGGACTTCAGCCTTTAATCTCAATCTGTCTTCATTGCATTTATTTGTTTGATGATAATAATGAGATGAAAAAAACATGTTGTCATTTTGTTGTGGATATTTTCTTTAATTTAAACATATAGATATATGTACAAAGCAACAGATTTGCTAAGTAGAAACCAGTATGAGTGAATGAGATAAGCGAATCAACAAAACAAATACGCTGAATATTAGGCAACATTGAACTTTGACTTTCGAACAGCTGCATAAACTGTTTACTGTGACGGACAAACCAAACGTGCCATGAAATGTCACTTCTAGAACTGAACTGTTGCAAATTATTTGGATAAAGCGTAGTAGAAGGCATGAACAGTAATGCATTAGGGCAAAGTACTATGAAGAATCACCCCATTGTAAGTATGTGAACATGCTTTGTTGGCATGTAGACGAGACCTCATGCTGACTGTAAGACAGCTTCTACTCTTAACTAGTTTTTTTTTTGTTTTTTTGTTTTTTCAAACAATAAAATGGCAAAATGAGACCACTTAACACCCTAAATCTGGAGAAAACTAGCAGTTGCTTCACAACAATCACCTAGATTGTAGTAGTGCGTTAACTTGAATTGACAGTTTTAGCTCTTATTTCATTCTTATTATTTATTCTTATTCTGAATAAATAACTAGACTTACTAGTTAGAGTCTGACTAAACATTTACAAACACTGACATGTAACTGTTAGTCAAGTCAAGTCACCTTCATTTATATAGTGCTTTTAACAATATGTTGAAACACTTAGTCACATTAATATGTTACGTATGTAATATGAAATGCATTCATTGATCGCTGAATAATTTAATGTTTTTTTTCTTCCAGTTTAATCATTTTAAAACAATCTGTGTGAATAAAATAATTTTGTTTCTTTAAAGCTACACTGTGTGATGTTTACCCCCATCTAGAGGTGAAAAGGTATATGACCATCCAGTGAATATTAGTTTCTGTTCCTCTCAATTCCGATTTCGTTTTAACTCCTACGGTGGCCAATGTAGTCCAAGATTAACATGGCTTCCAGTTCGACCTCGTCCATGATTGTTAACTCAAAGGTAAACGAGAAAGGCGAAGCTTGAATTAACGGGTATGTCCCTCTTTGGCTAATGTACTTTCAAGATGGAGGGGCAACATGGCGACCGACATGTATGTATTTTCAATGGCATATTATACACTCACGAGAATACTTTTATTACTTGAACGAAGTAAATATACATTAATGAGCACATATATTTTTGAAAGAACTAAGTGTTTTTAGCTAAGAATAAACTAAAAGAGTTACACAGTGTAGCTTTTATTATTTTATTTCTTTGCACATTTCTTGTACAGCTTTTTATACTATCCAGAATTATTGTATTATTTGACTTGCAATTTCCCTTTTGACATTTTGCACTGCTGTCTGTGTTTTTTTGGTCTGTTGACAGCAAAACAAGATGAACGTCGGCGTGGCCCACAGTGAAGTGAACCCAAACACCCGCGTGATGAACAGTCGGGGGATATGGCTGACATATGCGCTCGGCGTAGGAATGCTTCACATTGTACTGTTGAGCATTCCCTTCTTCAGTGTTCCTGTTGTGTGGACCCTCACAAATGTTATTCACAATTTTGTAAGTGTTCTCTGTTGAATAATCGTTTGTTATATCCCGTTGTATTCATTTGTCTATGGGCTGTCATTTTCTCAGCAGTGCCCTGCGGCCAGTTGGAGTCTCGACAATTGATGCTTCCTTAGTAGTCTGTGCGGCATTGTTATGTAAGGACTCGCTTGCACAAAGATTCAAGGTCAACAGCATGACATCAATGACCAAGTTTAAGCTCTCTGGCACATCATGATGTATGAAAACTTGTACCACAATTAACGAGAGAAGCTATTCATTGGGTACTCTAATGTTTCTGTTGTCCTGAATTGGTAGACACATTTTGTTAGTATGCTTCTTAAAGGGATAGTTCACTTTGAAATTAATTTTTGGTATGTTTTAGCTTACCTCAAGGGCATCCAAGATGTAGGTGTCTTTGTTTCCACAGTATTTTCAATTTTGATATTTTTAGGTCAAACCGTTCGTGTCTGTCATTCATATAATAGAGGTCTATGGTCACCACCTCAAAGAGCATGCACAGAGAAGTCCAAATTAAACATCATTTAATGACTCGTAAATGTAAGCACACAATGATGGCCTAAGACACGAAACGAGTGTTTTGTGTGAGAAAACGAACAGTATTTATATCGTTTTTACCATGTAACCACAGTCACGTCCAAGTGATCTGAAGGCACAGGGCGCTTTGTGGCACGGTTCTTTGAGGTGGTGACCATAGACCTCCATTATATGACTGATAGACAAGAACGGTTTGACCTAAAAATATCTAAATTGAAACTACTGCAGAAACAAAGACACCTACATCTTGGAAGCTAAAACATATCAAAAATTGATTTCAAAGTGAACTATCCCTTTAACCCCGGGACACACTAAGACGACAGTGTGTTTTTCGGGGTGTGTTGCGCATCGTTTACTCTAGTCGGATGCCATCATATTTTTTGGGGGGGCCAATTCAGCTTGTTGAATCGGTGTCAGTCAGAGAGAGAGAGCTCTGATTGGCTGTTCAGCTTAGTGAGCGAGTCAGTACATGAGAATAATAGCGAAAGGGATGAAAGCGAGCAAAGAAGTCAAGACAGTACTGACAGAAGGCTGTTATAATTTTATGTCATCTTACCTGAGTATTTGAATACACAAATATTTTCATAATAACAAGAGCTGATTGGAATGAAGAAACTGATCTGTGTGATTGATATCCAAAATGGTAAGGAAGCGCTGCTTTGTTTACAGTTTGTATATCTGCAGGTTTAGTTTCGGTTTCCCTTTTTCAATGACGAAAATAGACTATTATTGACACCTGATGATATAGACGGATATTTACTTACACGTATGCACAGAACTCAAGTGCTAGTTGACAGTCGGCTTAGTTCTTTAGGTGTGTTCAAGCACAGTTTTTTTTGGTCGAGAGGCGACAACACAGTCAGCTTTCGTCGCCGCTAGTTCTTTGACATCGGCTTGGTGTGTCCCAGGTTTAAAGGAGGGAGGGATGATCTAAAGTCTTTATTCCAAGTCTGAAGCTGATGGTTTCTTTCCACAAAGAAAAGACCCCAATTTAGTTCATAGTTCCTTGATCATTTTCGCCTCCCATCAAATCTCATTTGCAATGATACGATTCAACTTCCTAAAGTCAGGGTTATTATAGTTAACTAAAACCATTTTTAAAAATTGTTATAACAATAAAATAAACATGAACTATTTTTTTTTAAATCAGCTAAAACTGGAATTTAAAAAATCATAAACTATATAGACTAAAACTATAATGACTAAACTAAAAATGAACAATATTCTCTTTTTTGTCTAGGTTTCTTCTGTGAAATCGCAAAAAAATATCTCAATGTTTTTTGTCTTTACAGTGAAAGTCAATCAAGTGCTGTTTTGGGGCTCTTTGATTTTTATAGTATGGGCAAAAACAGAAAAACACGTTCTTCATCCATCTCTTTGAGCTTGATAGTAAGAGGTCCAATTGTTATAAACTTTGAGAATGTCTATCCATGTCATTTAGATCATCTTTCTGTCATCCCGCAGGGTATGTACGTGTTCATGCATGCAGTGAAAGGCACACCATTTGAAACTCCAGACCAGGGCAAGGCAAGACTTCTCACACACTGGGAACAGCTGGACTACGGCGTGCAGTTCACATCATCTAGAAAATTCTTTACAATCTCACCAATCATTTTGTAAGTTTTTGCAGTTTTATGCAACACTTTGAACTAAATATACCCTTAGGAAACAAACAAACAAAAAAGTTAAATAAATATGTTATAGTGAATATTATAGACATATTTTGGTCATTTAAAGTGCCCCTACTATGCTTTTTCGGATATTACTTTTCATGTAGTATGTATTAAAGCTGTTTGTGAATGTAAAAGGTCTGTAAAGTTTTGAAATTGCATGACAAATGGAGTTACATAAAGAAAGAACTGATTCTGAACTGCCTGAAAAAAGTCATACATAGGTTTGTAACAAATTTGCATAAAAAGCCAGTCTATGGTCTTCATTGGCTATCCACGATCAACGTTACTTTTTCCCGACCTCAAAAAATGTAGTTTTAGCTGAGGCCTCGTATGCCGATTTCACACTGAGCGATTTTCCCGATTTTCGTTCGCCAACTGGTTTTGTGAGATTGCAGACAAATGCCTGAAATCATAGGCAAATCAGTGCTTGTTCACGTGAGTGACAATCACGCAGTGTGAGTTATCAAAGACGTGATCTGACAGAAGCTACTTCGCCGATGACCTACAGCCAATAGCCGCTTTCCGACCAAGTAGTTACAGGAACTTCGTTATAGGAACTGTCCACTTCTAAACAGTTCTAAGAACTACTCTTCCCCCAAACTCAGATTTGCTGCTTGCGTTCGCATTGGCCAAGTGGCCATAACTGGTAGGAGGGGTAAGGGAGTGACGCAAGCACGGCGACGGTCTTTATAGCGTCATCACTAGACGTAGCGCGGCCACATACAACAACAACAAACCAGCATGGAGGAGGCTATTGCAATGTTCCTGTTCTGCCTTGCCGGGACCTTAATAACGGAGTACGAACGGTGGCGTTTGCTAAAACACACAGCGTATGGCAGACAGCGCGCTACAAGTTCCGTGTTGACAGTGGGCGTGACTTATAAGTTGAACCAATCAACGTAGACCTAGGGAAAGGGGACTAAAAAAGTCCTCGCTCTAGACTAGGTACTGAAAGAGTTATAGGAACTACGGTCTGAGGAACTAAAAAATCCCCAATTTAGTCCGGTCAGAACACGAGAAAAAAGGGTTATAGGAACGTTAGGTTCTAGGAACTGCAAAAATCGCTCCGGTCGGAAAGCGGCTAATGAAAGAGCAAGAAACAGTAAGGAGATATAGACCATAATATCAGTATTTTAAAGCAACACCAAGTAACTTTTCCTCTGCGGTCGCCCTACAGGTTGGAAGCGGAATTGTCCATTACCGCTGTCGTAAATAATTTAGCCTACCGCAACCTACTGTCGCACGCACACTCGTTGTTTATCCAGCATCGGCTTTGGAATGAACGATGTCCATGTCACAGACAAGACAGAGTATGTTGCATGATTTCATGAAAGTATGATGTATTGCAACATCAAAAATTCAAAAAAAGATATCTATTGTAACGTTTGACATAAAGCGGAGTAAAACTTGTAAAATTTGTAAAAAAAAAAAAAAAAAAAAAAGTAAAATTTGTAGTTTTCTTATGTCTCATTAGAACTACAGAAATTCATTCATTTACATAGCGTGGTTATAGCAGATATAGGACCTCAAAGCAGAGGCACAAGTGCCTTTCACCAAGTTACGACATGATGAACCACTGAAAAGATTTTGGAAACATTATTTTAAGGTTAAAATCTTACGTAGCGTTGCTTTAATAGATGTATTTACATTTATATCGAACATAAACCAAGCACAAACATTTGCTTGACCAGCAGCACATTGCCAAAATGATTTATTTACCCCAACTCTCTGCAGAACACACAATCTTTGCTCCCCTCGTCTCCACAACCGTTTCCTCCTGCACCATTGCACACAAAAGCAAATGAATGTGACCCGACTACTTAAATCGTGCAGTGTGAACTCGGCATTAGGAAGCCCCCGGAGTTGAAATTCTGATATGGCAATGGCCATTTAATTTCTGAATAAGCGATAAGCATATCACAATAGACTGAGCCAGCTGACCAATCAGAGCAGAGCAGGAAAGGAGGGGTTTAGAGAGACTGAATCCTTTATCAAACTGTTTCAGACTCAGACACTGTAAGAAGAGATGTAATACTGCAATGTTTATTTAGAGAAAATTAAAGTGTTTTTGACCTTGGATGCCTGTAAAGCTATTGTAGTAGACTTTTAAAATGGCATAATAGGAGGAGCACTTTAAAGGAGTAGTTCACTTTTGAAAAAACTTTTGCTGATAATTGACTCACCCCCATGTCATCCAAGATGTCCATGTCTTTCTTTCTTCAGTCGAAAAGAAATGAAGGTTTTTGATGAAAACATTCCAGGATTTTTCTCCATATAATGGACTTCAATGGGAACCAAACGTTTCAAGGTCCAAAAGACACTTTCAGTACAAACTGCAAACTGTTCTTATCAAGTGAAACGATCGCTCATTTAATAAATAAATAACAAAGTTTAAGTTTTATAAGCTCAAATGCTCGCCTTGCTCTGTCCTGTGACGCACGTTCGTGACTCTCCTGTTCGAACTCATTTATCAAAATTAACGAATCTTTTTCCGAGTCATTTGGTTCATTCAACAAACAAAACAAACGAATTGACTCGGAAAAAGATTCGTTCATTTTGATAAACGAGTTCGAACAGGAGAGTCACACAGTACAGAGCAAGGCGACCATTTGAGCTTATAAAACTTAAACTTTGTTGTTGTTTTTTTTTAAGTGAGCGATCGTTTCACTTGATAAGACCCTTATGCATCATCTTGAATCATTTAAAGCCCTTTGAACAGTTTGCAGTTTGTACTGAAAGTGTCTTTTGGATGAAGTCGATTATATGGAGAAAACTGCTGGAATGTTTACATCAAAAACCTTAATTTCTTTTCAACTGAAGAGAGAATGACATGGATATCTTGGATGACATGGGGGTGAGTAAATTATGAGCAAAAGTTTTTTTGAAAAGTGAACTACTCCTTTAAGAGCCTGTACCGATTTTTTGAAATATAACATGTTTGTCTCTTCTATTTGCAGATATTTTCTCGCCAGTTTTTACACAAAATACGACACAGCACATTTTGTGATAAACACAGCTTCGCTTTTGAGTGTTCTCATCCCAAAACTGCCACAACTCCATGGAGTCAGGATCTTTGGAATAAACAAGTATTAAAGCCCAGTGTTGAGACTCGGAGCCGTTGCCCCGATATGGGAGAGGAGATAACACTTTGTACTTTGTACCGCAGTTGTGCACACTTAGCAGTTTTGTACAGTCTGTGTAATTGTGAGCCTCTTTGTTTGATATATCTTGAGAAATTGTTGTAGGGATATGTTAGGAGGAGGACAATTCCACAAGCATTAATAACTTAAGATATTTAATGTGTTTTTGTTAGTTGTTTTGTGATCCTTGTGGATCTGGGCTGGCCCAGGTTTCATGGTTAAAGGTTTTTTTTTTTCTTTGTTAATTAGTTTTTGTTTGTTCAAATGTTCTCACAACACTGATACTCTGAGATAGATTAATGCTTTTAGCGTCACTTCACATTTCTAAATACATGCTTAAATAATGCCATGTGTTTTTAAAATCAGTTGAAAGCCATGAAACCTTTCTGCTATTTCTGGAGTTTTGTTGATGTTTCATTGCTTCGGAGACAAACGAACTCAATTTGCATGATTTCCTGAAAAATATTTATTCAGTCACAATATTATGTATAGTTTTGTTTGGTTAATGTCGTAGGGTTTATAGGTGACACTGAAAAAATATTAACATTAACAAAACTTTAGAGTTTATGCTTTTAAGTACTTTCGTGTTCATTAAGGTCAACATGAATCTAAAGATAGAACTTGTTTACTTTCTAAATACACGTTACTGGACTCATTTTGCAGTTATTATTTCAAAGAACATTTCTTTGTCATGTTTTAACCGCTTCATCCGCCCCAACGTCAAGTTCTTCCCTACGTTGTTTTATCTTCTGTTTGAATCAGAAATACATTGCTTTACAAAAAGTTTCATGTTGACTATTAACTCCATTTCAGTATGTGATTGTAAAACTTCAGCATACCGTCATGTTTCTTTGCTCTCTTCTGTGTCACGGTTATTGAAGTTCATAAACTGTAACATAGACCCATTAAACTATTTGAATCCTTCCATTTTCTTGTCTTTTGACATTATCTGAAGGCTCAACTGTGCCAATTGTTTTGTCCTTTTGTTTTGGGAAAAGGTATGAACATAGTGTGTGTTGTATTACATGCTGCAAACAAATAAAAGTATTAGAAACCCTGTTGTTCACTTTTACTAAAAATTATAGAATGCACACTACTGTTCTACTATTTGAGGTCGGTAATATGTGTATCATGTTCAATTATGCTGCATTTATTTGATCAATTACAGTCATATTGTGAGATATTACTACAATTTAAATAACTGTTTTATAGGTTTTAATAAAGTGTATTTTATTCATGTGATTCAAAGCTGAACTTTCAGCAGTCATTACTGTAATCTTCAGTGTCACATGATTCTTCAGAAATTATTCTAATATGCTGATTTGCTGCTCAAAAAACATTTCTTAATATTACAAGTTTAAAACTTGTGCTGCTTTTTTTTGGAAAAGGTTATTCTATTTTGAATTTTAGGTGGGGGGGGGGGGTTGTAACTTGAAGATTAATATGTGGGTGAATATATATTTATAGCCCTACAGTATAAAAATGTAGGACATGCCTTGGTTTGATAAAACAAATACAATACTTAACCCTCAGGTGCTCTTCGTTTCGGAGTCACACTTGTTATCTTCCCGGACACCTAAAAATGAAACTTTCTCCATCCGAGTAAAACCAATGCAATTTATTTTTGTTCTATAATATTTATTCTTTTTAATTTAGTATTTTGAGACAATTTAATTTATTAATATTTATGCAATATTTATGGTTTATTTTTGCCATGGAAAATATATATATATATATATATATATATATATATTATTTTTTTCAAAGAAATATTAATGCAGTATTTTAGTTTAATATAGAGTCTAGGCCTTCAGAAAAAAAAATATTTTTAGAAGAAAAGCTTAGAATCATGGTGTAATCACTAGATGGCATGTACAGCTCTCTATGGAGAGGCATGTGAATTCCCCAGCTGTTTAAGAACACATTTTTTGTTGTTGGTGGTGGATTTGAATATATAGTTGAAACAATCTCAAAAACTATTTCTTATAAAAAATTTACAAAAACAAAGGTTTTTCCATTTTTTTTACAATTTCCCATTCATTTCCTATGGGGGTCATTTTTGTGTGTGTTCACATACATAATGCCATAAAAGTCACGAAGTTTCGTAACATTGCGATGAAGCTGTGATTTTTAAAAATTGTATAAAAGTGTGTTTGTATGTGTGTGTGTGTGTGTGTTGGTGGGTGTGTCTGTTTTGCACTCATGTTGTATAGTGTCACCCCTTTCCTGCGGTGCACTTTTTTTTTAGAATTGTGGCCAATTTGTCGATTGTACATACAAAAATTCAGAGAATTTTTATTTTTTTTGTCAATTTCCCATTCATTTTCTATGGGTCGGTCATTTTTGACAGAAGAGCAAAAGTGTGACTCATTTTTTACGACCACTTAAATTGCTCGAATCATGACCTCATTTTTTTTGTGTGTTCACATACCCAATGCCATAAAAGTCACCAAGTTTCGTAATTTTCTGAAGAAGCTGTGATTTTTAAATATTCAAAACAGATTTCTTTAATCACAATTTATTGGTGTTTTTGTGTATACAAGTGTGTGTGTATGTGTGTGTGTAGGGGTAGGTATGTCTGTTTTGCACTCTTGATATTTTAGAGTGTCACCCCTTCAATGCGGAGCACTTTTTTTCTGCATCGTGGCCGATTTGTAGATTGTACACACAAAAATTCTCAAAGTTTTTGTGTTTTTGTCAATTTCCCATTCATTTCCTATGGTCGGTCATTTTTGACCGAAGAGCACAAGTGTGACTATTTTTTTATGACCACTTAGCCTGCTCGGATCATGACCTCAAATTTTTTTTGTGTTCACATACCCAATGCCATAAAAGTCACCAAGTTTCGTAACATTCCGATGAAGCTGTGATTTTTAAAATTTCAAAACAGAATAATTTTTCGGTCAGAAATGACAGAAGAGCACCTGAGGGTTAAATATAGACAACAATCCAATTTTATTTCCATAATGGTCCTATTAAGAAGAAATATTTGGCAAGAGTTACAAAACGAAATTAAAATGTCAATTTTAATATTGTCTATTAAGAACAACTTCTAAAAAAAAAGATTACTTTTTATGTAAAGCTTCGCATGCATCAAGCATCACCGCTTTAAACACTTCAAAGCGATGATTTAAATCTTTTTGGCAATGAATTTTATACTTGGTTCCCAAGGCACCATCTGCAGAGGGTGCTCCATAAAACACTCTGTTGATTCTTGAGTGGACCAAAGCCATCGCGCACATCACACAGGGCTCTCGTGTGACGTAAAGGTCATATCCAGTGCAGATGTAAGGCTGACCAGTTTCTTTCGAATTGCAGCCATTTCTAAAGATCTCAGAGCTGCTAAATTGACAGGCTGGATATTTCTCGTAATTGTAGGCACCTCCTCCTTGCCCACAGGCCACAAGATCAATACAGACCATGACAGCATGATGGAGCGGCTGAGCGCCACGCTTACAGTCATGACCCACTGCGACAATCTGCTCAGATTCTGGGTCAACAATTACAGCGCCCACCGCATCCATTCCCATTTCCCGACCTGATTTTGCAGCCTGGACAGCTGCCGTCATGTAGTATTGAATTTTAGCTTTCTGATCGCCAGTGAACAACTGGCCTCTCAGAGCATACGTCACTTGTTTGTCCTCGTGAAATGACGTAGGCCAGTGTTTACTAGCTTTTTCAAACTGTGGTCTGGTCAGTGGAGGATTGGCAGCTATTTCAACAAGAAAAGGTTCACCTAAACCACTTAAGTCAAAAGACAGTGAGCGAAGCAGATCAGCAGGCTTAACTCCTTTGGCCACATCCCTGGCCAAGCACACAATGACCTCTAAAGGATGAGGGCTGCTTTTGTCTTTGCAAGCTCTCACTCTTTTTATGTGCTGCAGACCGGGTAGAGGGTAGATCAGGGACAGCTCTTTGACCAGGCGAGATGTTTCTCTTTTCTCGACGATGGGTGCTGCGTAGGCCGGCAACAATTCAGTGTCCCGAGACTTCTCATCGGAGAGAACAGGAAGAACATCCCAAGTGTCACATTTGTCCATTTCTTTCCTCCGTTTGGCTTGTGGTTCCATCTTGTTATACTCATTTAATGGATAGCATTCTGTAGAAGCAGAATGTGAGAGTTAAAGTTCAAGTGCAAGACTCAAGATTCAAAATATCCTTATATAAAAAATGAAAACTATTTTAATAATACATTTATATATTACCCTATATCTAAATCTACATTTGACCAACAACCTAGGTAGACCATTACCTTATTTGAAGGAAACAATGGACGTTAAATATCAAATAATAACTGAAAATAGTCAAACAAAAATATTTCATGTCACCCAAAGTGTGAAGAATCCATAAATCAGACTAAAACCAAAGCCAAACTTTCTCTGCTAAAACATCTTTCCCATGTGAGTCTTCATCCCACCTGTATTATTATCCCACTGGAAACAAGCACTCTATAATGGTTCCTGTGTGTTGCTTTTTATTTTGAACTTTTGTTAATAATAATATCGTAACTAAATGTATCCTATTTATTCATTTTTATATAAACCATAGACATCTTTTTCCATGCTGAATTTATAATTCCGTTAGTTTACAGAAAAAACTAACGGAACCCAACTTCGCGTGTTGCGAGTAGGACATGTTTATATGTAACGTCTCGTTTCATACAGGGTCATAAATGGATTTGTACAAGTTTAGAAGCGTTTTTAAAATGTATTATTTCAGAATGGTGTCCAGTTAAAGCGACCAGTGTTAACGACAGTGAATTGGCAGTGTTTACAGAATGTTTCCGTGTGTTTTGAATGGACCTGTTCGTTGCTGGATGAAGCACATCACGTCTAGAAGAGCCTTCACTGCAGTGCGCCCTAGATTAGTTTTGGGGATTGAGACGAGCTGCGATGAGACAGGGGCGGCTGTGCTGGACGACACTGGAATTATTTTGGGGGAGTCTCTGCATTCTCAGAAACAGACACACCTGGAGTAAGTATTGCCCCTAGCTTCATTCATAAATAACCAATCTTGATAAATTGAGACCGACATAGACTAACACTAGGTTTTCAATATCAAAGGAGCAGTTACAAAAACGTCATACAAGTCCATATGACTTGTGCAATTTACTACAAGCAGTGTTATTTTATTATTATTTATATACTACTGTAGGATTTATTCATATTTTTGGGATTGGCTTTTATTTTTATATTTACAGTTTTCATTTTCGTTCAAGCTTTGGTAATTTAGTTTATTTTTTTGTCATTTATTTATTAGTTGTGGTTATTTTTATATTAAGATTTAATTTATTTTTATTTAAATTTAGGGTTTTTTTGTAATTTTAGTAGTTACATTTTTATTTCACTTTAAGTTTAGGTTTTTAGCTACGATTCACTGAAAAAAACAGCTTGAACATTCGTCTTCTATAATAACTTGTGCGTTTGTGTGTGTGTTTGTGAACCAAAATGTCCATTTTCTTTAGTTTTTATACGTTTTCTCAGGTCATTTTCAGGTTGGGCCTATGTGAACTAAAATTAAAGCTAAAGAGGGATTGAAATATACCTAAAATATACAATTTGCTTTATATTTTTATACACACTTTAAATATTTAAACGGTATAAACATGATGCAATTACTGCTGTATTGTTGTGTCCTCTGTTTGTTTTATTATCTTACAGTGCGGGTGGAATTATCCCACCTGTGGCCCAACGTCTACACAGAGAAAACATCTGTAGAGTTGTCCAGGAGGCCTTAGACAGAAGTGGCATTGAACCCAATGAACTCACAGCTGTGGCCACAACAGTAAAGCCTGGACTCTCCCTCAGCCTCGGGATCGGCTTGGAGTTCAGTCTGAAGTTTGTGAGATTACATGAAAAGCCGTTCATCCCTATACACCATATGGAGGCCCATGCCCTTACTGTAAGAATGCTGCACCCTGTAGACTTCCCTTTTCTTGTGCTCCTTGTCTCTGGGGGTCATACTCTTCTTGCACTGGCCAAAGGAATCGATGAGTTTCTTCTCCTGGGGCAAACATTGGATGTAGCAGCTGGTGACTCTTTAGATAAGGTATCAGGATATCACTTAATATTCAAATACAAGGAAAACTGTATGATGTTTGTCATATAAACTGTTAGTGTTTCCTTTCAACGACAGATTGCTAGAAGTCTTTCTCTTAGGAATCACCCAGAGTGTTTGACATTGAGTGGTGGGCAAGCCATAGAGCTTCTGGCTAAAGAGGGGGAAAGACGTGCATTCCACTTCAAGACGCCGATGGGACAGATCTACGACTGCAACTTCTCTTTTGCTGGTTTGCGAAACCAGGTGACAATGGCAATAAAGAAAAAAGAGAAAGAAGAAGGTATTTTATCTGTTCGTTTTAAAATAATAGAACAGGTTATTTTCCGGAACGTAGTGAGCTGCCTACTGCTTACACAGACCGCTGCCTTTTAAGTGACCCTATATAGGCAGCAACCCTGCATGTCTACACACACACACACATATATATATATATATATATAGGTAGGCAGCTCGCTAGGTTTTTATTTGATTGGAGATGCAATGCAATTATTACAATTTCTAGAACTCTTGATTATAATCAGTAAGACAGTGTTATGCTTCCTCAGGTGTTGAAACGGGACAATTATTATCATGTGTTAAAGACATCGCCGCTGCCTCACAACACACCGTTGCATCTCATTTAGCCAAACGAACACATCGTGCCATTTTGTTCTGTAAATCCAAAGGTCTTCTACCACAGCACAATCCAACTCTGGTAAGTTCACAGCACCTCAGGACTCGGATGTGGCATTTCATGTTAAAGAAGACATATTATGCCCTTTTATAAAGTCTTGTTTTTGTTTTGGGGTTTTATTCGAATTGGTATTCATGCTTATATGTTCAAAAAACTCATTATTCTTCATATACCTTACATTTACATTTCTTCCCAGTCTGTCAGTAATACTCTGTTTAGTTCTGGTCTCTATCCCTTCGTATAGAAAGTGCAATGTGCTCTGATTGGATGGCTGGACCAGTGTGTTGTGATTAGTTAACTGCTTCAAGCGTGTTTCACAAATGTCGCGCCCCTTACCATAGCAGCAAGTTTCATAACATTACTAATGCATTTAAATTAGGCTTCACTTTTATAGTTTTTTTTTTTTTTTTTTTTGCATAATCCTTGGACAGGATTTATTTATATAAGGCAAAAGCATTTATTTTATTATTATTTTATTTTTTTGTTGTATTATTGTATAATAGTTTGTTTTATTATTTGTTGACCAGTTTTATTTATTTATTTTTTTTCTGTGGGTTTTATTACTTTTGTTTGTTTTGTGCTTCTTTTTTATTTGTTGTTGGCCTTTCTGTCACAACACTATAAATGTGGGGATGATTGTGGTTGTGATTGTGGTATGAATGCATGGGGAAGTAGGTGGGGGGTTTGAAGTTTGTCTTGTCATTTATTCTGTGAACGACTTAATAACTATTTATTTTATTTTTTTTATTGTGACATTAAAGTTCCCGGAAGAAAACACAAAACTACAATTGATGCGTTTCAGGGAGCAATGAAACAGCGCTTATTGGTATAGAGAATAACTCCATTTGGAGTGAATTTTGCTCAATAATTTTGTAGACCTTTTTCATGCTCAAATAGCAACATTACACACTAAAGAAAGTTGAAAATGTAAAAAAAAAAAAAAAAAGCATAACATGTCCTTCTAGCTTCGCTTGACCATTTTATCAACCAATAAATGCCTTTGGTGAATTGACATTTGGTAAAAATTCCACTCCATCCCAACCAAAATTTCAACTCTTCATCTTGTGCACCTCTATAGGTTGTTTCAGGAGGAGTAGCAAGTAATGAATACATCAGACAGACTCTAAAAATCGTCACAGATGCCACTGGGTTGCGTCTACTGTGCCCTCCGTCAAAGCTTTGTACTGATAATGGAGTCATGATTGCATGGTAAGGTGATAACACTGGTGCACATCGCCTTACAGCCTCGATTACATGCATAAGACACTCTGACTTTTGTTCCACACTATTGTTCTCAGGAATGGTATAGAAAGACTAAAGCAAGGAAAGGGGATCTTGTCCCATACCGAAGAGGTCAAATATGAACCCAAGTAAGTTAAAATTGCATTTGCTTTGTTAGTTACTAAATTTGACCTATTTATGTTTCAATGCATGTTTAACAGTTGTCATTTCCAAGTAAAAAAGAAGATCTTTCAACTTTAATCAAAATGTGATAACTTGCTCCGCCTATTTTTTAACCACCTGGCTCCATTCTATAATGTAATGCTCACATAGATAAAATCTCATTTTATATTATTTCTCATTAAATATCATATTTTTCTCAAAAATATATAAAATTACAGAAATAAAACTACATTTTGTTTACTTAAGTTGCTTGTTGTTGTTTTTTGTCATTTTAGCCATAATATATACTATGTTCTAATAATTTTAAGAGACTATGCATATAAAAAGATTCATTTAAACTTTGACTCATATTCATCTCCTGATATTGTGCATTTTAAATCAAATACAGATGTAAAACATTTTTTAATGTATATGTATCACACAATTTTTTAGCATTTTCAGTCATAGACTTTTGGACCCTATTGTGTATGATAGTATCTGTTCTGACAATAATTATTTTTATTTATTTGAATTTTAGGGCACCCCTTGGATTAGACATCACTTCAGAAGTTAAAGATGCTGCAATCAAAGTTCCACCATTAAAACTCAGGATAAACTCTTGACATTGTGTTGTAAGGGAATTTCCATCTTATAAATAAATGAGCATTTATTTAAAGATTTAAAGATTTCCGTTCTGCATAGTTCAAAGCTTTTGACGTCATTTCTCTTCCAGAGTTAATGGGCTTTCATTTAACCTCAGTAGTTAGGGACTGTGCAGGACCCCTGTCCGTTCTGACTCTGGGTTTGCAGTTCTGGCCCTCTGTCTTATACGGTGCGGCAAAGGAGCTGGTGTTTCTTTCTCGCCGACAGCTGACTGACTACACCTAGCATTCAGTCTCTTCGACCGTCCTGGTGAGAAGTGGTATAGCGCAAACAGCTGTGTGTGAGATGCATTCCTCTTTGCTTTTAGCCAGCATCACAGTATTTCTAAGCCAATTCAAATACCTTTATTATCACGGTGAGCCACAGGAGGGCCGCCGTTTATCTCCAAACTGCAATGGAGAAAACAGAAAGACAACGAATTACGCTTGTGAATTATCAAAAGGCGTCATATTCAGTGACTTCCTGTTGTAAATGTAAACCACCTGAGGGATGGAAACCCTATTCTTCTCTGTCTTTCAAACTCTTCTGTAAAGATTTGTGATATTCTGGCATCTTGTGCTAGATTCTTCTTTAGAAGGTCATATATGTGAGGGTTTTTTTCTACATTTTGCCAAGAAGCTGTCGATGGGCAAAGCGATTAGAGGTCAGGTAGCCCAAAGCATCGCACAAGCTGTTTGAACCTAAAATGTAGGCAGGAAGAACGTGTATTATTTT